CCAGATCGTGGTTTCTAGGTATTTCCAATAACAAAGAAGACCATAAAATCATGCCATGAATGATCAAAACATAAGAAGCATAGAGCAAAGGAGAAAATCCCTAAACAATATGAATACGTATATAATAATTTTGAAACAAATTCAAATACATGAGAGTTTAGAGGTTACATCTTCCCCAACAACAAATAAGATTAGTTCTCCATCATCATGAAGAAACTCGGTGTATAATGGAATGAAAGAGATAGAAAAACCCTAGAAACTGAAGAAGAGAGCTCCCGCATCCCCAAATATGCGTCCAAAGGGGCAAAACGTGTGTTTCTGTGCTCAAGCCATCAAGAGATACCAACCTTAGGGCATGCAAGTTCTTAAATAGAGCAAAAATAAAGTTCAAGCCCAATAACGTTGGCGCTCAACACCCTAAGTGGGGGGCAAGCAGGCGAAACTGCGAGAGAATTAGCGCTCAGCGCTCCTGGAAGGGCGCCCAGGCGGTGTGCGATACATGAAACTGGCGCTCAGGGCCCCTGGCTGGCGCTCAGGGCCCATGAGGGGGCCCTCAACTTCAGCTTTACTTTTCTGCACTGCGTCTTTTTCTCTTTTTCTGCATTCCAACTCCTTGGTATTTTAACTCTCTTTCAAATCATTCCAATAACCTACAAAATCAAGAGAATTTAGTGATAAAATCATCAAGTATACTCTCTACTCACTTACTCACAAAACTAAACTAAAACATAAGTTCAAGCAAGCTTCTAAGTTTAAAGGTTGATTTAGTATCAAAATTGCATCACAGATAACGGTATTTTCAACCATTTTCACCATGGCAGCATGAATCCTACAAGTTGGATATGAATCTTTGGTCAGACAATCAAGTTGTGTTAATATGAAGTGTTGTGACGTGACTTCCAATTTTTTAATGAAATCGGACTAGCCCAACTAGCTCATAAGACTGACTTGCAAAACTGTTGAGCTTGACAGATATGATTGAATTTGGACACCCAGATTGAAAATGTTGTCTCGACCCACCCTTTTTTTAATGGACTAACTGGCTACTTGACTCATTTTGCCATATCTAATTTATTTTCTATCTTTTTTTATATAATCATTTAGATTGAATTTATATAACATTTATATATAAATTCACACATAATATAATATATATATATATATATATATAGAGTTTGTTATATGACATTACATGAAAATGTTATGTCTAAATACATTTTTAAAATTTAAAACTTAAAAATAAATTTTTTATAAATAAAAATGATTTATTTGGTATGATTATTTTCTTCTTTATATCTAATAATATTATTCTTGTGCCTTTCTTTTTTTTTTTTTCTAAGCTTTAGTTGTAAAACGCACTATATATGTCATTATTTTTAAAATTAAGCAGATTGATTTGAAAAAGAAATTGGAGGCCTATTTTGTATTCATTTTAAATGCATTGAAATTGGTTTTAAGAAAAATATCAAAGAACTTGGTCAAATAAATCAGTAAATCCGTGGAAAACATTATTGTTGAGACTTAAATCTAACTATTATCATACATTTTACATGGTTTTTTTTTAAAGAAAAAGAATGAATTGGTGTAATGTTTTTGTTTATAAAAAATTGATAGAAACGTTGTGAAAACAATACCAAAAATAACAAAATTGGACAATAGAATGATAAAGCCAATTGTGTATATTTGATATGGCTCCTGTGTGTATTTTAAGATTAAGAAATTATAAAGTAGTGTATTTTTGTTTTGTTTTTTTGCAGCTTATAGTAGTATAAATTTATGTTTATTATGAGAAAAATATCATATAATTATTACTAAATAATAATAATAATTTGTCTATGTAAAAGTTGTAAATAGTTATAAATAGTTATTTGAACTATTTGAACAGGTATCGAATTTGAAAAGTTGGAAAATAAACAGAAACATAACTTTTTCATGTAAACAAGTTCCAATAACGTGTGTTGAGGGGTAATTCTTTAGGAATGAATAGTTGGAAACATAAATGCAGCAGAAGGTTCAACGTCATGTCTTAACTAATACATGAAGATGCATGTTAACGTGTGGATGATGTTGCAAGTGGCAACCTTACCTCAGTTTTGATTTGACCTTGTCGTGTAGTAAGACAGTGTACCACTATTATATTATTGCTTCTTCCCTTACAATTACAACAACTCCATCGAACAGAACAGTGATGGTACCACTCTGCTGCTAACAGTGTTCATCGATCCATTCAGCCCAAAAATGATCAAACGGATACAGAAAAAGAGAAAGGGAATGTATGACCACCTTCTTCTACTGTTGTAATCTGTAAGCCATTCCACGACATGCTTTCAACTTCAAAGACAACTGTTACTACCGTTCCAAAACTCAACAACAAATTTTAAATCATGCCAAAATATTATAAATAAATCAAATATATCTCCTCAAATTTATTTATTTATCTGCTGCTATTAAGTTCATGCATGTGTCCTAAACCTATGTTCCCAAGTTACAATATCCGCTGCAGTTGATCATATATAGTTTTATGAACAAACTGTTATGATCTCTAAACAAAGCTGAAAGAATGAATAGTTGTTTTATAAAAAGAAATCTGGATAGCATATCTATGTTCATTTACGAGTAATTAAGGTTATTTTATGATAATTTTCATATAAACACTTTTTTTCTAATTTAAGATATTGTTTGTTTATTTCCTCCTTTCTCTGAAAATAGGGTTGTGACGTGTTTAGGCGTATGACTAAATCCAGAATACTCCTACTAAGTCAAGTATATGCTTTAAACAAGTCTGGTACATGTTTTTAGTGTTAAAAGGAGTAAGTTTCAGTGCGTTAATTACACATCCAACATACATAAATTAATATAACTAAAATAGTAATAATAATAATACTTATTACAATTAATATATATGATTTTTGTACTGTAATAATTTCATATTCTATACTTGTTATAATCTGAATAAATATAATTATTGCTCTTCATATATATAGAAGTATGGACATAATAGCCTTTCTATTTTTTTCTTTTGGTTTTGTTGAAGCTGCTCAACCATTAACCACTACTGTAATTTATTTTCTCTATCCTTGCTTGTGTAAAAAACTTGCAGGAATGTTAACAAATATTAATACCCTTTCTTTATTAATTTATTTATCCCCAAGTTAACCACAGTGTTTCAGTTTATTATTGATGATTTCATATTTTTAAGTATTTATTTGCTTAATAAATACACATAGTCACTTTTTTTTTAATTGTAATGCAAATTTTAACATATAGTTTTTAGTTAAAATTAGTTCAAAAATATATATAACGAAATTAATTTTACCCAAATTTAAAAAATAAGGAATCTTGAGGATTAGTAAAACTCACTTACAACCATTTCTGTATTTAACCTTTCAAATTCAAATTGTTTCTAACTCTGAGACAAATATTTCTTAGTTCAGTTAGTTGTTTTTTCTTTTATCTGAAGGTAACCCACCAAAAACCTTTGTATGTATACAATAGGTAAGAATTAATATCCATTATATTGAGCTTGTTGGAGTGATTATAAGGAGATCACCAGTAATTCATGATAAGTACATATCCATAACTAAGCGAACCGTAGCAAAAAGTAGCAATAAAACTCCCATGTGCATGTTACGAAACCTCACTAGATTATATATAAATCAAGATTTATACTTTGTAATTATGTTAAATTAAATTGAAGATGAAGGTCGATTTATTTTTTATTCTGCGACTTATAATTTAGATGTAATTGATCCTCTCTTCATCTGCATCACCCCAAGCTTGAGCTTTCAAATGCATGTAAAATAGAAGCTTCGTTTTCTTTTTATTTACACTTTTTGAAGTCTTATTTAAAGTTGATCTTTTACAAACTGACCTTGAGGAACTAATTCGATAATTCAAGAGCTAGGAATTCATAAAGTCAACTTCATTCTTTGTTCAAAATGAACAATCATCACTCAAACAGTAAAACAGTAATAAACATCAGCAGTTTGTTCAGCTAAATTTCGAAAGGAAAAATGATGCAATCAAACTAATAAGATTTTTAAATTAGTCACAGAATAGAATCAAATAAAATCAAATTTAACTTATTTATTTTTAGTTGTAACATGCATAATATAAAAATAACATTTTTTTAGATTAAATAAGTTTTAATATCTAAATTTGAACATGAAATTTAAATTCTGTATCCAAAAGTTTGATATATTTTAATCCTCTACTTTAAAACTAAATAAATATAATCACTAACATTGACTTTTTCTTTACATGCTATATACTGTTATCTAAACTATGTCAAATTGTATAAATAGTTTAAATGTAACATGAAATACAAAATGTATCGTAGCTTTAATATTTTTCTCATAAATAATAATGATATGATAAAAAATCATAACATTATTATTTATAGAAACAATTAAATATATATTTAGCTCACGTAAAGTTAACAAAGTTTATTCCTACAAAATATTTTTTTAATTCATCCCTACATAATTTTAAATCACTATTTTTAGTTCTGTATTTATTTTAAAGCATATAGATAATTCTTATTTTACGAATCTTAAGACTTTATTTCAGAAGTCAGATGCTCACTTTCCTATATCAAAACATCAGTATATATTACTTAAAATAATTATTTGACCGTTTATTCCTTTAAAAAAGAATAATTAACCAGTATCATATACACTAAAGATAAAAAACAAAATTCAAAAACGAAAATAAAAATTGACTTATTTTCCCGACAATAAAAACATGTTTAACTAAAAAAGAAAAATGATGGAAAATCATAAGACGTTAAAAGGGTTTTGGCTTAACTTAAAGAATGGCATTTTGAGAAAACATATAAATAAGACAGCATTTGACCTGTAGTTGTAGGTGGATAATTTTAGTAACAGAGGCAGTAAAAGAAGAAAAAAAGGTCGATGAAGAGCAGTGAGGAAAGGAGAATAAAAGGATTGGAAGAAAAATAAAAATAGAAGAAAGAGGTTGCATGCAATATTAGAGAGAAATAAATAAAATATATTTAATTTGATTATTTGGAAAATGGGAAATGATAATGGGAAAAGGGGTGGAGGAGGGTTCTGCACTTCTGTTCTGCAAGTCTGTAATCTGTGCATGACCCGACAGACTAACACTGTACGATATTGCCGCGTGAATACCCACCCACTCCCTCTCCTATAGTTTATTTTCTTCTTTCATTACTTTCTCGCTTTTCACACCGCACTAACCAAACATATACGAGAATGGGATTGAATCATTGAACCCTCACCAATTCATTTACCACCCTTTTTCCCTTTTCCCTTTTCCCACTAAAAAAAATGCCAAACAATACAACAACAAACTCTAACTCAAACTCTCCCACCAATTAATATCCATCTTCCTCGTCTCTCTCACTATATTTATCAATTTCTCACCCTTCACCCTAGGTTGAATAAATGTGTCCAAAACGGGAACAAAAATGGTTGGTGGGGACTTTCAGCTGTTAATGCAAACAACAAATTAAAAGCTGCTGGTGCAGTGAATCTCATCCAATGCACAAAAATATTACAAACCCTCGATTAATCACTCGTAACATTTTCCATTTGCATGTCTTACACGTTCGCTTTATCTTGCTAAACCTCATTTATCGCTTCTGCTAATCTTTCACATATCATATCATTATACAATGTACAAACGCTGTCTTTTTTTTTTCCATAAACTTCGCTGCCTTGTCTTTATTTGGTCTCGATCTCTTTACAGACAAACTAATCACCAGAATTAATTCGCCATTAATGTACAATAATAGTACATGTTAACCTAATCATGCACTTTAAGCACTCCTTACTTCGGCAACACGGGAATAAACTCAAACTAAAATTAACGAAAGGAAGAGCCCTAGCTTCGTCTCCATTAATTAAATTTCAAATTACAGTTTTCTCTCTGGAAGCGAACGGAAAGATCGAGAGAAAGAATATTATATATTATATTAATAACAATAATTCCGAAATTAGGGTTTCTTACCGAGAGTGTTCTTGTTATTGTGCATCCAAACTTTGAGAACTTTTCTCTCCACATTGGTCTCGGCACAGAACTGTTCCACAGCAGATTCATCGTGCTTCTGGATTCTCCACCCCAGCTGTTCCGCGAATGCCAGCATCTTATCCTTCTGTTCCTGCGTGAACTTCGTTCGGAACCGTTTTTTGGATCCTCCGCCACCTCCGCCGCCGCTGCTGCTCGGATTCGAGATGTCTTCGTCTTCGCGGCTGAGTCCTCCGCCGGAGGCCGCTGCCGGGAGGGCGAGCGGGCGGTGCTGCGCCATTGGAGGTGTGGCGAGGTGGTGGTGAAGGTAGCCGCCGGCGCCGGGGTGCTGCGGGACTCGGTGGTGGTAGTACGGGGAGAACTGATGGTGGTGGTGCAGAGGCGGCGGTGGCTGCGCTCGGTGGTGAAAGGAGGTCATCTCGCCGTCGATCTCCTTGCGGTGAAAATTCCGGTGGCAGTTGCAGGCAGCGCAAATCACGGCCTCCAGAGTGCCGTCCTCGCCGGCCGGCATGAACTCGCAGCATCCGTCGACAGCGTGGCCGCCGAAGCTCACGGCGTGGTTCTTCTGGCATTCTCGGTATCGTACCGCGGCGGCGCCGAACGCGCCCTTTCGTCCCTCGGCGCCGACTTTGGAGCGAGCCGCGGAGTTTCCAAGCGAGTCGTAACTTGCGACCGGCGCTGGCACCGGCGGGTCCGGCATCCCCATTTCCTCCTCCTGCTCCTCTTGCTCGTCGAATTCCATATCGCTCTCCACCTTCTCTCCCTAAAAAGATGATTTTTTTTTTTTACCAACGAAATTGAGTTGTGTGTGTTAGGGTTTCTAGAACCGAGAGGAAGTGGAAGTAAGTGGGGGAGAAAGTTGAAGATCTATTCTACTATACTCTACATGTGAGTTTGGGCAAGGGAGTTTTGAGTTTCACCAAGACAGAGTATAGGTAGATTTGAAGATAATAATAAAAACTAAGCAGCTAAGTAAGATTGTGTTTGTGTATATATTTATATGGGATTTAAATTAATGAATATATTTAATATATAATAATGGTAAGAATTATTTAATAAAATAATGTTATTATTGTTGTTTGAAGATAAGAGATCGAAGAGGATGTGGTCATGAATAAGCGGTCTGAAGAAAAGAGCTGTTTCACTCAGAAAAGGGTTTCAAATACTTGCCATTACATAATTAACACCTGTACCATTCTTGTTCAGACATTTACTTTTTACTTTAACTGACCATAACCCATTTCTGCACCCTTTTTCCAACCTTGTGTCTTTTTTTATTAAAGATATTGCAAAATGCAAGGAAGCCACATTATTTAAGAATGTAGAAGAGTGGAAGGCATAATAATAATAATAAAAATGCAGAGATTAGAGAAAAGGTTTTATTGTAGGTAGGATGTTTGGGATGATAAGGGTAATTAGTTGAGTGGAGAGAGAAGAGATAAGAGAGAAGAGAGAAGGGAATATGGTTGGTGAGAAAGCAGGAGGAGAAAAGGAGGAGTGGAAGTGGAAGAAGGAGAAGTGAATGTGGTTGAAGAATTTGGGAGCAGAAATGGAACCATAAAAATAAAACTTAAGACACGGACTTAACATCGGACCAATTAATCTGTCTGCATTTATGGGAGCTGCCTACGTGCCCTCCTTCTCCGACAGGACATGACATCACTCTTCCCTCACACTCCTAACTCCTAAATTCTCTTATTATCATTATTCTCTCTTTCTCATTCTCATCCATTACCATTAACTTAATTACCTTATCCTCCTCCACTTCTCTTCTCTCTCATTTCACCTCCTTCTTTTCTTTATCCCTCTCAATCTCAATTAATCATAAATATACCACTTAATCACTGCTTCTTTCATTATTCTAAAAAATCTCCATACATTTTATTAACTGCTTATTTGGTTTTTTCTTCTCACAATTTCCGCTCATGTCCATCCACAACAATCTCCATTAATGTTCTTATCTACAGTGATGAGGTTCTACTAGGTGACAACAATTCTATTCCAGCACAAATCAAGGAACCATGTTTTTAGAGAGGGGCTGAGGATCATGGACTTTATGGTGCTTGTAGGCTTTGTTGATTCAACTCTATGGTATTTCTGGAATACACCTTTTCAATTCTTCATAGCTTCAATATGAAAAAACAAAAACAAAAACTCACGGTTATAATGTAAGTGATTAAAACTTTATCCCTTCTCTCTCTCTCTCTCTCTCTCTCTCTTCACAATTTCAAATAACATGTGTTCCATTGACTCTGGTAACGAAAGAAAAACAAAGGAAGATCTTGCAAAGGGTCACATATATAGATGTCATTTCAAAACATTAATTAGTTGTTGTTTATCTTGGATTTAATATGTAACACTTTGAATCTTTATATTAGAAATATATATAGTATATATTGTATATAATTGCAGCATCTCTAAAGGTAAAACAAAAAAGAATTTTAGAGATTGGATCTTGATTATATATATAGTCTTTATATTTAACTATTAGTAGGTGTTATAAAATAACTATTTAAATATAAAAAAATTACAATCCCCTATTTGGTAAGTATCTCCATGTCTTTTTTGGTAAGTATAGCAATCAAACTATTTTTCTTTCTCTGAAACCAAAGCACATGGTGCCCTAACCACCTATCCCAGCTGAATCGTTTCGTTGTACATGACAAGCTTTTCGACAAAAACTTCAGGTACAAGAAATTTTGCTTTGGTAGGATTCGATGTTGATTAAGTAACCTTAAAGAATTAGTTAGATGCCATATAGATTTATAACACTATTTAGATATTCTATCTCACTTATTTTTTGGAACCACATTAAATGCAAAGAACATTCTTAAAAAATGTTGAAATAGAAGAGTAAAAATTGAAGTATAAGAAAAACTCAACACAGAATCTCCATTTATGTATGGAGTATATATAAGAGATGTGAATGATACATGATTGAATTAGGAGAAGAAGAATAAGAGAAAAGGATGGAAAGCAATTATGAATAGCAAGAAGCATTATTGGTGTAGACAAAGGAGGCCCAAGTTCAGAGAAGCTGACCCTCGAAACATGTTCAAAATAATTCATGTGAAGAACTCAAACAAGATTTGGTCAGATCTCGAGGAGCTTCAGGTGTAAGTTTTCCCAACCTACAATTTATCAAACAGTTTTCATTTTTGAAGACCAAATGTTGAATATTAGGGTTTTTCTTTTCTTTTCAGAGGAATCTTTTTTCCCTAGACAATCTCATGGGAGATATCCTCATCATGCTATCAAAAAGAAAAAAAATTGCTTAATAATGTGAAAACAATAAACCAATTAATAAACAAGTATTTTGTACATACCTTCGTAACACTTTGGAATGAAGATATAGTTTTATAGAATTTTTTCTATGTACAAGTGATTAAGAGATAATATAATTAAGTTTCAACTCTCTATTTAGTCTATTAAGTTTGTTTTGTGTATTGAGTACTTACATTTTTTTTATATTTTTAATTAAATTTTTTATAGTTTACTTTTTTTATTAATTGGATGACGTTTTGTCTCCTACATAAAAATCATTAACAAATATGATAACTTTGTTATGTAATGTGTTTTCAATAAAAATAATAATAATAATTTATTATCTTATTAAGTGTGATATTACTTTTATATTAACTTTATCACCTTGTAATTTTTAAGATGTAAATAAATAAACAGAAAACAGGTCAGAATAACATCAACGTCATAAAAAAAATTGAATAATATAAAAAGGGCAATAGAAACTTGATTAAATACATTAGTTTAGAAAAGACTTTAAACTTAATAAGTCTTAAAAGTAAGTTATGTGGATGTGCTATACTATTTCTTTGGCTAGAAATTTCTTGAAAGGGACTGCACGACAAGAAATTGAAAATGAAAAATGATTTGAGTTCTTTAAATTAATTTAAGACTAGTTTGTATAAACCCTTTCAGATTACTTTTCAAAGCAAAACAATTATTTTTCTAAGAGAAACTTGTTTATATATATAAGTTAAAAAGAAAAATTCACAGAAATAAATGTGATATTTTTATAAACTAATTTCATAAACTAACTTAACTCACGAAGAAACCTATTTAAATATTTTTCCCCATTCCTTGTTGTACAAATGTTTTTGGGAAAAATGATTCGAAATAAACTCTAATTCAATTATGAATGCTTATAGAAATTAACTTTTTTTCAAAAGTTAAGATGCATGTAACTTTAACTAACAATTAAAAAAAAACATTCAACACGGCAATGCTTTTTATTTTTTAAGAGGAAAAATTGATACTTTTTTTTATATGTTTTATGCTTTTGTCTTTCTTAGAAGTACTGGAGAACACCTAGAGTTGGCTTGATTTTCTTAAAAGGAATGAACATTTGGAATTGCTTTCTTGGACCATACCTGATGGATGAGGGATCATTCATGGTGTATTTGATTTTCTGTTTGGAATAGTTTGGACAAAAGCTGTGTATTATAACAAATAAGCTTTCTAGATTCTTTTTCTTTTCAATAAAAAATTTTAATTTAAATATATAAAATTTAATTTAATTATTTAAAAAGAAAGTAATATAATATTTTATAAAGATAAATAAGGAATAATAGATGGAGTGATGGTGAAGGGTAAAAAAAAGTTTGAAATGTTAGAATTAATTAAGACGGAAAAGAAAATGAAGATGAATGAGAGGGATGGGAGGGTTTTTGTTTTATGAGTGGTGACCGTACTCCTGTCACTATCATGTCAGCGGGACGGAAACCACATTTGGCCTCCATTTTCCTGAAAAAGAGACACCAACCAACACAGTAAATTATGCTCATTACTTTTCCTTTGCATTCAACTCAATACTCATTTTAATATATTAATATTTTAATATATTTTAAAATATTAAAAAATTTTTTTTTTTAAGAAATTGCTCCAAAAATCTATTACAAAATTCAAATTCCATTCTACTCTTCTTCTGCTCCAAGAGAGAAAAATAAATTTACTAAATGTTTAAAAATTTGAAAACCACTCGTATAGTTTCTTCTGTTTAATTCCTGTATTATTAAAAATGTTATTTTTTTATCTTTTAAATCAACGTCAATTTTGTCAATATAGTGTGACAGTGCCATTTGTACCCATTAAAAATAATTTAAACATTAGAAAACTTTAATGAGGAATTTAATACATCCAACTGAATTAAATAAGATATCAAAGCATAGAAATTAAATAATTGATTTAACCTTATTTTTTCAGTTTTCATAAATTAAAAGATTAGTCTAACACAAAATTTACGCTTATATTTTTATAAAGGGTGAAGCTCGTTGTTCTCTACACTCAAAATCTATTTATTTATTTTATTTTAGGTTAATTCAACGCAAAATCTAAGTACATTAATTTTATTACGTAATTATTTGATGAAATAGCTTGTTGTCATAAAGATTAGAAATTCCAGTCGAACAAGACAGACCCTTTACAATAAGTGATTTTTTTTTTTATTATTCACTTATATGTCACTTTGGTTTCTTGTTGTAACTGTTAAATTTTTATGTAGAAAATTAGATGGATTTTAATGTAAATTTACATGCAATTGTTTTATATAAATTTTGCCCTAAACTCCTAATTGAGCCGAGAGCCTTACACTAGATGGGTGTCCAAAAATTAATTAGCCAAATTTATGTCATTTGATTAATTAGCTATTGACTAAACAAGATAAAAACTTGTTTTGAACCTCATGCAAGAACTCATACACAAGTTTTAGGTTGTGTACATTTTCGGTCCAATAAAGATGTTAAGTAAGACAATTTAATAAAATTCATTCAGCATTATTAACTTAAATGATTACGAAATATTTTTATATATATTTATTGATGTAAACATCTATATAATGTTTTATTAATCATGCAAGGCATCATATTTTTGTTGATTATCCTACGATAAGTTATTATTTTTATTGATATTATTTTATGTCATCTTGATATTATTTTTTTTTATCATATAAATTATA